CAGGCCTCGCCCGTAAAAAGGGTTAACCAATATGAGCAGCCTGGGCCTACGGGGCAGAAGTTCAGGGGTGATTTCTGGAAGAGATGGAAAGAGGAGAGAAAGAAAGGACTGAATCTTCCCGAGGCCAGAGACCAGGCCTCCTCCTAAAGGGACCCCAAGAAAACTTGCTAAGTACCCAGGTACCAGGAACTTGGTAGATACCCAGGGCCTGCTGAGAGTAGCCCTTCTGGAAACACTCCCCTCTGTCACCTGGCCAGTGTGGGCATCCCAGTTCTTTCTCACAAGTGCTGAGAAAAAGGGTTGGCTGTGAAAGCAAATGTGTGCCCTTTGAACCTGAATATGCCAGGTGGAGAAAGAAGCCTTGATCCCTGAACACCTGTTAACCAGCATCAGATTCCTGCACTGTCACTGTCCCCAAGCAGCTCCGAGGCCTGGGAGGCTCATACAGGAAGTGGGGGCCCTGAGTGAGGAAGGCTCTGCTGGAAGGCCTCCTCCCTGTGTACAGTGAAGCTACAGGCCACCTCTGGGCTGCTCATGGGGTTCCTCTCACCATTCTCAGCCAGCCTCCTGCTGTCACGCACATGGGAGCCTGTTACTCTTCTTGTCCAGGGAAAGACAGAATATAGCCAAGAGCAGAGGCACTCACTCTTCTGAGAGACCCAGAAAGACCACACAGAAAGAGACAGAAACACCTATGTGGCTCTGGCCCAGCACCTCACCCTGGTCTCCAGACAGAGGCACTCCTCGAAGGAGACACATGAGGGCAGTGGCCCAGCGCTGGGCCTCTGCACGATTCTCCTCGTAAGTGGCCGCACCATCAACCCGGAAGGTACGAGTAGCTCTGCGCCGGCCTCCACGCCGGCCCCGTGGGTAGGTGTAGACGCAGAAGTAAGCTGCAGTGTCTGAGGGGCTGCGGCTCTGCAGAGTGCCACAGCCTGAGACCTCTGCCAGAGGGACTAGGCCATCTCGGGGCCGGGCTTCAGGCTTTGGGCGCAACCGCTGTATGTGCAGGGCTTGCATTGTAAGGGTGAGTGCAAACCGTGGGCCATGGGCTGGATAGGAACCAAACTCGCCATGAAGGATTGGAGTACTGGAAGCCAAAGGCAGTAGTGGTGGTGGGGCCATGACCTGGCCTTCCTAAATCCTTGGCTTGTGGGCAGCTCCTGCTCCAGCCTCTGTGAGGGAGGAAGGAAGACAATGGTCAGAATCCTGGTAGGTGGGGAGGAGGGGGCTGTGAAAATGAGACAGTGAGAGCGTGGAAAGGGAATAACAAACACAGAAAAGTGTGGAGAGACTCCATGATGCAGGGCAGGAAGGCCAGTACCCAGGCATGAAATGCAGTACCCAGGATTTATTTAACTTTCAGATAATTATTCAGGACTCTGTGTACAACAACTAGTTAAAACTCCCTGACAGCCAGGCATACTAGTGCATACAAGCTGCACTAGGGAGTCAGAGGCATAAGTATGAGGTCAGTCAGTGACACCTCATTTCAGAAACAACTACACCCACAAAGAAACAACAATAAAAACCCATACTAATCAGAAGGAAAAAAAAGTGTTGGGTGGTGGTGGCACATGCCTTTAATCCTAGCACTGGGGAGGCAGAGGCAGGAGGATCTCTGAATTTGAGGCCAGCCTGGTCTCACTACAGAGTGAGTTACAGGGCAGCCAGAACTATGCAGAGAAACCCTGTCTAGAAAGAACCACCACCACCACCAAAAAAAGTGGCCAAAGCATAAGATACATGGTATATTGTATGATGACATGGGATTAAGGGAGGGGAACAACACCCAAGAGGGAAACTGGATGATAGAGACAGGAAAAAAAAATAGGCTGAGACAGAAAGGCACTGTCCCCTCCCACACACTGAGTCACTGTTAGGTAGAGAGGGGAGAACAGTGTAGGCACACAGGCACAGAGAAGAAAGGGACAGCTCTGAAAAGCAGAGAAACAGAGGAGATAACAGCATTTGAGAGACAGGCCAATAAGATACTTAAAAGTTTCTCACCCCAATGAAGAAAGCAACAGACAGGAGAGAACGGACAGGACACACAGTCAGAGGTGAGCCACATGGGAGTGCCCAAGGGAGTGGCCCCCAGCCGGTTTGTCAGGAAGCACTAACCTGGCTGGTTGGCTGGCCGCCTTCTCTTTGAGAAGAGGGTGGGAGTCAGGATTAAGTCCCTTTTGCTCTGCAGAAGGTCCAGCCTCTTAACTGCTCACCTTTGGGCGGTCTTTCCCAGTCTCCTGACGGCCCTGCCACCTTCCTCAGGCTCACAGCAGCCTAGGACACGCCCCCATGGATACTGCCCCTCTCAGGATCTGCCCTGGGCCACTCCCTTAATGCCCAGTTACCTATCCCAACCTCAAACTTCCCTCAAATCAGACACTAGCAGAGTCCTATACATGCTCCGTTCTGGGGTGGGTCTCGGTTTCCCAGGACTCCAGTTCTGGGCCTCCATCCACAGGTTCCCGGCCCTCCCCTCTGTCTGTCCCTGGTGTGT